TTATTGATAAATCTTCTAAACTTTGATTTGGTGCCATCAAACTTCTCGGGTAGGGCAATTCTTGATTTTCTAACATTGGAAGGGCGTTCCACCATAGGAAAAGGGACATGATTTGGTGCAGATGTTGAAGCAACTCCAATCATTTCTATATCTTCACTTTCTACCAATCTTGTTGCTCCTTGTGGTGGTAAATTGAGTTGATGCATCGCAAGTATTAACTCTCTCAATTGCTCATGCATTTGTGCCATTGCATTCTTCATTTTAGCAAGTTCTACCATGATAACACTTAGAAAATAGAAGATGTATAATATCGCTCAAGACAAATAGAAGAGAGGACTTGAGAACAAAGAAAATTCTAAGGACAATATCAGTTTAGAAGAGGGTAATCCGTAACTTCTAATATGCTTACGTCTTATCAAGAGAAAAGGGTAATCCACTCTTAATCAAGATTAGACAAAGCTCTGATATTGTAAGTATATTCTTGTCAATTTATTAAGGGCAAGAATATGACAAAAATAAATCAATAAGTGAGACTTCTCTCAAAGAAAGATGACAAAATAAAAATAACTTGATGTATATATAAAAAAAAAAATTGGAATGGCTATTGCCAAAAGCCAAGAAAACTAGAGATCCTTGAAACTAGAGTGAAAGCAAGAAAAGAGTTGACAAGAGAGAAGAAGGCTTCACTCTTGTTTCTATATATACTATATAACTAGGAGCTACATGGCAATGTTCTATAGAACCTCCAATATGTATTGACTTTGTAAGAGACATGCCTTGACTTATAAGATAAGTTTTTTTGCATATGGGCTACATAATTAGCTTGGTCTTCAAGCTAACAATATGTGTGGCACATGGCCAACTTGTTGACTATGTTTTTAATTCAAAAAGTCAATTAAAGACACCTATAAAGTCAAAGAAGTGTCTATAAAGCTTCTAGGAATTTTTTATAGCAAATATTATAGAATTAACTTACTTTTTTTTACTTTTACTTACTTCTACTTATTTATATATGTAATGACTGGCTTACATGCCTATATCCATCACAACGGACTTTTTCAGCCATTACTTATTCCATAACAACCATGGTCTTCTGTTTCTATAGATTTCATCACAGATCTTTCAATTTCAGGTTCTTATGACTCTTTATTCGTAATAGTAGATTTTTTGTTTACCAAGATAGTATATTTTGTAGCATGTATAAAATCTATCACAAGTAAAGAAACAACTAAGGTCTTTCTTGATAATATCTATTGCTATCATGGATTATTCAAGGATATTACATTAGATAGGAGAACTCAGTTTGTATCAAGATTTTTGCAAATTCTTTTCAAGATTCTAAAAGTGGATATAAAACCAGCTTCGACATTCCATCCTCAAATTGATGGACAAACAGAGCGTATTAATCAAGTTTTGAGGTAGTATTTATGATATACCATCAACTACCAATAAGTTGATTGAACAACTCTTTTGTCATTGATAGAGTTTGCTTACAATAATATGGTACATTCTTCTACAAATTAAACACCTTTCTTTGCTAATTATGGTTATCATCCACAACTTGATACTTTTGACTTTTCAAAAGTTGATAATCTTGCTGCGAAAGTTTTAGAAATTCATTTATTAGAGCTATTTGCAACGATAAAGGTATAGTTAAAAGAAGCTCAAGAATAGCAAAATATCAATGTAGATGTTTATTTATAGGAAAAATCACTATTTCATGTATGTGATAAGATATGGTTACTTTATCATTATCTCATAACCACTCGTTCTTATGATAAATTGAACTATGGAAGGCTTGGACCATTTTCTATTTTTGCATAAACCAATCCAGTTACATATCGTTTATACCTACTGCAATTAATGGAATTACATCTAGTATTCCACGTCTCTCTTCTTGAACCATACAAGATAGTGGACATCTTAAGAAAAAGACAAGCTCCACCTTTTCTTATAGTATGGGACAATAATAAAGAGTTCAAAATGGAAGAAGTCTTAGATTCAAGGGAGCACCGAAATAAATAGGAATATCTTATCCATTGGTGTGGATATGATATTAGTGAATGCACATGGGAGCCAGTAAAGAATCTTGCAAATGCAGCAAAGATAGTGGAGGCTTTTCATTGACGACATCCATGACAATCAAGATGAAAACCTTCCTTATAAAAGAAATAAGGTCTAGGCAAGATAACATTCTACTTTCAATCTTTGTTAGTAGCTTCTTTGTAGTTTTGACTTTGAAGAGATGGAGAATGAATAACTAGCAGATTCGACTCAAGAGCCTTTGTTTGCTGACTTGCCAAACAAGACATTACGATTGCCACAACCTTCAAGATGATGTAATTGAGATGAAAATCCTCAAGAATAACATGTTCTTCCTCAAATAGATGACAAGATACAATGCGTTTGATATCACGATCTTAGAAGAAACTCCCAATGTTTGGTGATTTTACTAGAGGTAGGAACAACTCTTGATGGTGTTCCAAATATTTTATTTGAAGGAAGTTATGAAAGCCTCAACAATAATCAAATAACTGGGTGGTCTTTCCACCCTAATATGGGACATTATTCATGGTTGAGAGGCCCTATCAATCATCTTTGATGAAAATAAAGATCAGAGTATGTGTCAAATATAATTCGTCGTATCATAGACTTTTTCAACATATGATGACTGTTCCTCATAGAACTTGTCCCTAAAAGGGAAGGTAATGTCATGGACATATGCATGTATGCCAATAATTACATGTATAACTAAATAGAAGTAAGTAAAAATAGGTAAAAGTAAGTTAATTCTATAATATTTGTTATAAAAGCTTCCTAGAAGCTTTATAGATGCTATTTTGACTTTATAGGTGTCTTTAATTGACTTTTTGGATTAGAAACGTAGTCAACAAGTTGGCCATGTGCCACACATGTTGTTAGCTTGAAGACCAAGCTAACTATGTGGCCCATATGTAGAAAAACTTATCTTGTAAGTTAAGGCATGTGTCCTACAAAGTCAATACATATTGGAGGTCCTATTGAACATCGCCACATAGCTCCTAGTTATATAGTAAATATAGAGACAAGAGTGAAGCCCTCTTCACTCTTATCAACTCCTTTCTTACTTCTAGTCTAGTTTCAAGGGTCTCTAGTTTTCTTGTCTTTTGGCAATAGCCATTCTAGTTTCTTTCTTAATATAGATATTGAGTTATTTCTATTTTTTCATCTTTCTTTAAAAAAAGTCTAACTCCTTCATTTATTTTTATCAAGTTCTTGTCCTTGACAATTATCCATATTGAATTGTGATTGTTCCTTGTGATAGGCATTTACATTTTAGCTTTTATCATTCTTAAGCTTCTTTGAATTGCACTTTTATTTTTGCATGTAGCTTTGATAAACGATTTGTTAAATCTTTTGCCATGAGATTATAAACTCTTAAAAAGTCAAAAGCACCAAGTCATGGATGATAATTATAATTATCAAAGAAAGATAATTGGCAAGTAGAAGAAATTATTATTACTATTATTATGATTATTATTATTAATATAATTATTACTATTATTATTATTATTATTATTTCAAAAAAGTTAATATATAATTACTAAATTAATAACAATATAAGATCTAATTAAATTTTGAAATCATTATTATAATTTTATAAAATATTTTTTTATTTTTTAAAATAAAAAATAGAAAAAATAAAAAAATAAAAAAATAATTTTTAAATATTTCAAGAAATTAGTTTAAAACTTTAGATAAAATACTTATATTTCAAATATTGTTAAGGTCTAGATTTAAAAATAAGATATTTTGTTAGCTTTTATATATTTATTTTAATCTAAAAATTTATGCTAAAAATCAGCAATAAGCATTAAATGGAATTATTTTGTATTTGTTAATACATTTATTTATGAATTATTATCATCTAAACAAAATGATATTAATTTTGATTTAAAATAGTTAAAAAGACATATATATATATATATATATATATATATATATATATATATATATATAATTAAAAATAACAACAATAACAATAAATAATGATGAGATTTTTTTTAATTCAAGAGGTAAAAGAATTTTTGAAGAAATCCTTAATTTTTTAAAGATTTATTATATTTATTTAATTATATTTAATAATAATAATAATAATATAAAAGATAAAATTTAGAAGATAATTTTTAAAAAAAATAACTTTATAGATATATTGTAAGTTAATAACAATAATGTCTACAACTTTTAAACTTCAAATGTATATTTTTTCATTATTATTTATTACAAATATCATATGATTTATATTATTTATTTATTTTATAATAATTATCATAAATTTAAAAATTATACAATTTAAGCATCAATGAATATGTTATATGTTATTTAGCACAAATAGTATCAAATTGTTACAAAAAATAAAATCAGATAACAATACAATAAAGTTTTAAAGGTAAGTCAATGTGAACATTGGTAGGAATTGCTTTCAGGTAACAATTTGGAGTAAATTTCTCCAAAGAATACATGTAGTCCAACCTTCTTGTAGTTGATTAGACTCATGTTGACCGTGATAAATTTCTATTTGAACTTTCCATATGAATTCAAATAAGAAAAAAGGATCCAAAAGAAAAAATAAAATAAAATAAAATAAATCCAGCTAGTTCACTCATGTAATACTCACCTCATTAACTTTGCAATCTTTTTCACCGTAGAAAGTAAAAGGTTGCGTGTCTCTTCGTGTCTGCATGCGTGTTGACGAGCATGGTCCCATTCGTTGTGGTGTTCCGAAGGAGAGGCCTCTGCACTCTGGCGCCGAATGAGGGTCAGCACGCGCTTAAGTCCCCGCACGATCGACATGACCACCCCCCGCGACCGAACTGATCAATCGATAGATCGATGGATAGATGCAAAGAAGAAACCATCTCAAGTGATCTCCAATCACGGCTCTAATAATAGAAGATTCCGGTTCATAACTGGCGCATTCTCCCAACTCGGCCTGCCTGTCGGGGTGCTGAAGGTGGTTACTGGAGGTGGTTACTGGAGGTGGTTACTGGAGGTGGTTACTGGAGCACACTGATCTAATTGAAGTCTTGGTGTCGATGCGGTTAATCGATGTGTGTAGCCCCCTGGCATTTTCTAGCCGAGCGTTTCGGGTAGTTGTGCCGTGTAACACAGGCTTCTCCCTCAAAGCTTCCTTCCTCGGTGATGGTCCTGCTACTTCGTGGATTTCGCTCCAGAATCGGTTCCAGAAACCTGCAACTTAGGATTAGTTAGTCAGCCCCCGAACTTCGTGACTTACTTTAGAAGTTAGGAGGATTCCGCGAGTGGTGGTGGTGGTGGAGAGTATTTGGGTCGATTCAACTCCACGGGTGTGTGTAGCGCGGATGGTTGGCTCACGGTGAGATCTCTCGCGCTCAGTCCTGTTTGAATTCCGGACGCTTTTCAAGCATCCTCTTTCGATCTCTCAGTTTTAGGATTGCTATTTTCTTTTACATTTCGTTAGTGTTGGATTTGATATTGAACCACCTGGACGACCTCCACAGGCTAAGAACGTGCAGCTTGGTACAATCGACAGGAGCAGGTCGCACATGAAATAGCTCTTAATTCCAGCCTGTGATTGATTCGAGATCTTGCGATTTTTTATAGAGTTGTAAATTCTTGCACCAGATCGAGAAGGTGCCGCTAGTCGGATTGTTTCTGGGATTTGCTTAACGGCTATCTTCTTGAATTACATTCGTCGCCGCCACTCTAACCTCTCCAATGTGAGCTAGCCAATCCTTCTCCAGCACGTACCACATAAAAGTTCTTACCCTTGAACGGTGTGATACTTCAGACCCAGGTCAAAGGTTAGGCGTTCTTCTGTAGGTCAATGGTCGAGATCGGCTTAAGTGAAGACTGGCTTAGAAACACCTGTCTTGATGACGTCGTCAAGACGCTGCGGCGTCCACCGAGGGATCAGTTTCCTCTTCATTCTCATGGTACTCATTTTCTCTTGCCTGTATTTTTCTGCGAAGGTCCCGGTGTCTTCAGAAAATTTGGACGAATTCGGACTCCTGCCTATAATTGAGCTGAATGACACTGAGTTGAGAGAAAGGCGTGTAAAACTTTTGGAAAACTTCATAACTTCTTTACAAGAATCTACAAGATTAGCCACGGGAGGGGAGGATGAGAGCGATTGGTTCACAGAAGAGGCCAGAGTGAAATGGAATCGAGAGAATCCGTGTCTCAGCCGCAGAGAGATGCGGCTACAATACAAGCAAAGGAAACACGTTCCCTACGTGGAGCCGAATTCCCAGTGGCAAGAGGTTCTCCGAGAATACTCCAAACTCCACCGCACTTGTTTGCATAGGATTGGTGACCCGGTGGCGTATTTCACGAGCCAAAACTCCACCGTTGAGTGCAAGTTCACAATATTGGACACAGAGTTAGCAGCGGGGTTGGGAAATAGGTTGGTGATGATTGCGTCGGCGTTTGCTTACTCTCTCATTACTCAGCGCGTGCTGCTTATTGCCAGACCCGGAATTCTGCCTCCTCAGTTGCTCTGCGAGCCCTTTGAAGGATCCTCATGGTTGCATTTCGATCCTAACCAGCTTGTGACGCCCTTTAATCGAGACTCTAGAGGGCTGGGCAGTTACTGGAATAAGTCTGGAAGTTTCCACAGCCGCATTGACATAGCTCGTGGAGCTGAAGGCGGGGATGACACGTCGCAGCTTATTATGGATTACGCTGTGGCGAATGGCGAAGGTGGGTATACGGAGCAACTCGACAGCAGATTTTTTTGCGACACGGAACAGGACTATTACAAGAATGTGACATGGGTGTATATCATGGGCTGCATCTACTTCGCGCCAAAATTATACGCTGTGCCCTCATTCCGGCCGGTTCTGGACGCTCTATTTCCGGATAAGATGATGCTCACGAACCTCTTGCGCGATGTTATGTCGCCATCTGACGTGGTTTGGGAGCAAGTCAAGAGCATTCAGCGAGACTATGGGCTCCAGCGAGCTGATCGTCGGTTAGGCATTCAAGTTCGGTATCGTTACCAAAAGGAGCAGTTCGATAGGATGGATCGGGTTGTTGAGGCTCGAATTTGGCAGTGCGCCATAAACAATCATCTTCTTCCACCCGTCGTGACCAATTCTCGGCGAATGTTACCCCATGTTTCAAACAGAACGACCTCCGTCTTCGTAGCGTCGTTGTTTGATGGTGTAAAAAATAATCTCAGTGACACATTCGCTACCTATCCAACTGAAACTGGCGAACACGTCGAGGTTTTTCAGTTTTCCCACGAAGGCCTGCAGAAGTTCGGCGTGAAGATTTTCCAGGACGCGCTGGCGGAGATCATCACTCTCAGCTACTCCGACTACCTGTTTGTCACGCCTCAGTCGACGTTCAGTGGAGTTGCTCAGGCATATGGCGGGCTCATCCCTTGGTTCATTGGATTCCGCGATGAACTAGAAACGCGTCCTCCATGCACCCGTGGACAGACTGTGGATACATGCTTCCAAGTTCCGCTTGATTATGTCTTTCAGTGCCGCTACGACTCTGCGGTTCATCGAAAAGAGATTAGCACGGTCTACCCTGACATTCAGAAGTGTTTGGAAGCTGACACCCCTGGTTTGCAGCTCATTACAAAGCAACCTGAGATTCCTTAAGCCTATAGGATCTCAGATTGTCGATCCATCCTCATTCGATCAATACCGCTTCTAGTATTGGGACGCAAAGATTTATGGTACACATTTCTGTGACGCTATTCTTTTGGTCCATTTTTTTTGCCTACGTTGACTGCCTATTTCTTCGCCGGTAACGCTACCAGCATACTCTTATGCGATGGCATGCCTTCGGCAGTAACGACGTCGAGATGTGTTAGATATGAAATGAGTTTGTGTTTTAACTAGTGTAGCTGAGGGCGTACCCAACTAGCTTATTGTAACAGTGCATGTAGATCTATTCGTGCAGTTCTTTTCTTTTTAAATTATTGGTAATAGGATTCAGGGTGAGCACCAAACCCATGATTCGTGTCTTGTGCACAACAAGACGTTGTCCTGGTTACCCATTTTTCGAGATTTATACAATCAGACAACAACATTCCTTTCTATGATTAATCATAATGGACCATACCAGCATTCCTCTGTTCATTTGTGGACCACACAAGTTTGGCATTGTTAGCTTAATAATCAACGTTGAAAGTGTCGTAAAACACCGACCAGATCTTGTTCTAGTATACAAAAACTTCATCAAATACATTCCGAATTATGCACGAATAATAACAATAAAAACAATACCTTGTTTCTTTATTCACAAGCAGAATCTGTCTCAACCTACCTCTGGGAATAGCAATTGGAGATACTCCAAAGCACAACAGCTTGCTTCAGGGTTTGAAAACATCAATTAGAAGCTCTATTGGGAATGTTCTAGCAAGTTGCTAATGAGGTGAAATGAAATTGACATGAATTGGGTTGAATTATACCTGGTTGCACACAGAATAATAATAATAATGATGATAATAATAATTTTCGTCATCATGTTCAGTGTGATTGTCGGTTACTGTTCAATCAAATAATTGGATGTTGCATTGGTTGTATGGGTATAATTCAACACAAGTTGTTGACTCAAGTTGGATATAATTGGCACAGGTAGCAATGAAACTTGCCATGAAAACAACAGTCGAAAATTTTATTTTTACACAGAAAAAGATACTTCCTATGCTGTAACAGGTGATAGCTATAATGATGAAGTTGAGTTTAACAGTACACAAGTGGGAGCTGGTATGTTTACGATTATAAATTTGATGCAGATGAGACAGTGAACCTCGAGTCCAAAGCTTCGTTAATTAGTAAAGATTTACTTTCAAATAAGGTGATCCTTAGCATCATAAAATAATGAAAATGTAAAGCAGTTATCATTGTATTTCATGCCATTAAGCTTTTTAAATTCTTTTTCTCACTTTTAGGTGTCATTGTGTGGAATAATATTAAGGCACTTCTAGAAAATTATGTAAATAACATGTCATGTATCCTTCATGAAAGACAAATAGATTTTTTAATAAATAATACTAATACATTTTTAATAAACAAAACTTGACCAAGGTCTTGTATTTTTTTGTGATATATTTGTATTTGGTCTAAGGTACAAAATATAATTTACAGAAAAAAAAAAAAAAAAAAAAAAAAAACTCATTCTTTCTTCCATACATTGTTCTAACTTACATAGTTTGAATAAAGAAAAAATTAAAATTTTATAGATATAAAAATAATTTTTAAATTTTATTGATGTTAAAGTAAATCCATGAAAGTATAATTTTTCAATAATATAAGTATGTATGATTTGGTTAATTTTTTTTAAAAAATACTATATTATTATATTTATTTTATATATTATTTTTATGAATTTATACTTTATCAAACCTTTTTATTATTCTCCAATAGTATACTAATTTTTTAAACCATAAATTCTCAAATTTCATAAAAATCCAAATATTTTAAAAATATACTGTAATAATCCTAATCAAATTTTAACTAACTTTAAAGAAATTTAAAAGAAACTACAAAAGAAACATAAAGAAATTATAAATCAATCTTAAAAAAAAAAAAAAAAAAAAAAAAAAAAAACTTAAAAAATACCTAAAAAACTTAAAAAATCTTAAAAAATACAAAAAAATATCCTTAAAGAATTAATAATGATCTTAAAGAAATATTTAAAAACATAAAAAAAACCAAAATCTAACCAACCTCTAATCAAATCCTAGACCAAATACTAAATCCTAAATCAAATCTTAAACCTTAAACCAAATCCTAAATCCTAAATCCTAAACCAAATCCTAAATCTTAAATCCTAAATCAAATCCAAAGTAAATCCTGAATAAATTTCAATCATTTTTTTAAATTATTTTTAAATCTCAATAAATATTAATAAAATTATTGATCTTGACTAAAATTTTACTCACATTTCAACCTATAAGCAATTAATAAGTACATAAAATTTTAAAAAAATCAAACTCACTAATTAAAAGAAAAGCTTCTAAAACATTCCAAATATTTGCTGCCTTCTTCCTCCAATTTGAATGTTGTTCTTCCAATGGAAATTTTCTTTTATTGAATTATTAAATTGCTTGAAAAATTGGCTAATATGTAGGTTTCTAAGACTAAATTGCTCTCATCAATTTTTTCTTCAATTGAATTAGCAAATGTTACAAAATTGCAAAAATCCTCCTTGATTCTAAATTTCAATGATTTAAGTCTATAATCTACAAAAATCCTCATAATCATCAATCTAATTATTTGATTAATATCAATTTTTTTAAAAATATTCAAGATAAAATTGACAAAATTTTACCTATAAATATGCTACAATACTCACAAAGTCTTCAAATTTATGAACTTCTTTTTATTTCTACATAGCAATTTTTGGATTGATAAAAAGGTTAAAGTTAAGATCTTTGTCAAGGTCAATATTAATATTGAGGTAAATATCAAGGTAAAGATCGACTAATTCTTCTTTAGCTAATAAGTTCTAAGCCTAACTTTGTCATCTTGGTTCTCCAATCTCTTCTCCTTTACATCTTTATATATCTTGTAATATCTAACTATCACCAAGTAAATCTTTGTTAAGCTCAAAGTAGTCTAATGATGTAGTTTGATTAAGATAAATCTTTACCTTGCACTTAATAAATCTTGACTAATAGTCATCATGCTTGCTTTCTAATTCTATAGCCTTGGCTCCAAAGCTTCTTTAATCTTGAATTGAAAACCAAAAAGCCTTTATGAATCCTTTCTTGAATCATTTTGTAACTTGGGACTTAGAATTATCTATGCACAAATGAAGTAGAACATAATAGAATATTAATTTTTATTATTATTATTATAATAAATAAAAATAAAAATATATATATATATATATATATATATTCATAGCCTTTCTTATAATGATTATTTTTCTTATTATTTAATCTTGATAAATCTATCTTTTTGTTAACTATCTTAACAACCTTAATTATCTAAAATGGCTTAATCACCTTGTCTAATTAAATAAGTGTATCTTTTTTTAATTACTTTAACTACATCAACTACCTAAGGTGGCTTAATTATCTTATCTTATTAAGAATATAGGTGACTAACTATATTTCTATTCATACTAACTATTTCTAATTTCTTTTTTTTTTAATCATTTTTACACAATTTTTTTTTTCTTCTTTTAACTTCTTTTATATAATTTTTTAAATTTAGATTCTTTTTATATTAGATTTTTTTCTTACTTATATTCCATTTATATTAGGTATTTTTTTGATGTAGGATTTAAGAATTAAATTTTAGAGATTAAAATTAATAATTTAGAAGTAAAAATTATGAATTTTAGAATAATTTAATATTAATATATTTGTGAAGTATATAATTTAAGATTTTAGACTTTAATACGATCTTATTTATTATTACAAATCCTGCAATCCATGACCATCAACTATAAGCAAGTATTAGTTGCTTTGGTTTACTTTTGAACTTTGCTTATATATTATTAGAATAAAGATTAATTCTAGATTTTTAACTTTTGTTTCTAATATCTTCTACTTATTATAAGTATTATTTCTAAATATATCTAATACTATTCTATTTTTTATCATATATAGTTTATGTTTATAAGCATACTATAAAGATGAGGTTGGATTATTGGCCAACAATATCCTTTTTTTTGCACCAAATAGGCAATAATTCTTAGTCATATAATTTCTTAGAGGTGATTACTAATAAATTACAAAATTGGTCTTCATTGTAAGTACATATACAAGTTATTCTTAAGCCATTAGATAGTAATAAGTATGAAAGTAGTTTTTTTATGGTACACACCAAGAATCAATATTATCAATCTCTTTTATCAAAGTACTTAGAAAGTAATCATGTTGAGAACTTTGAGTTAGTGGTAGATGCCATCAAGGCTTTTCAACTTTTTTTTGCATTGAATATGACTAAGAAACTTTGGATCTCAAAATCTAGGTATATTTTACTATATAAAAGATAATTTCTATAGTATAGTAAAGAATTGATTATTAAGACAGACTAAAGACATTTCATTTTTAGATTGAAAGATAAGATTTTAAACCTAGATAATAGAAAAATACTAACAATCCTCTACTTTAAATGAATGGTATGTATTTAAACTATTGCTACAATATCTGGAATAAGAGGCATTCTAAATATATAAGAGATAGAATAAAATAATTTTACTACAATAACACAAGCTAAAACATTCTTAAAAGGCCAAAATAGAGCTTATTTCTACTTTTATAGAAGGTATTGTTTTAAATCCAATTCTTATATTAAAAAATAGAGATCCACTAAAAAAAATAGAATATAATTTTAAGACACAAAATAGAATATAATAGCATTATGAAAGCTTTAGATAGCAGTACCTTGTACATAGTCTTTGATGGCTCAAGTTGTAGATGAGACTTTCTGTAGAATAAAAAAACAACCATCTTTTGAGCTGCTCTAAATATTCATTGTCCACTTGAAGAGTAAGTATTGTAAAAAAATAAAGAAGAAGTGTATTGCTAAGATAGAAGTTTTATGAAACAAATACAAAAGAATTCTCTACTTTATTATCAAGAATTCAAGATAACAAATGCTTAAAATAAACCTCTACTTTTATTCTTTATATAGCACAAGTCCATGGTCTAAATACATGGACTTTTTAGTGTGAATATACAAATAACTAGCCTAGTTAATAATGTCCAATTAATATGTGGATACTTGTCTTGTTAGGCCATATGACGACTTCATAGGCTATGATAGTTAAATAGTATTACTACCAACAAATGGCGGCTACAACTTGTCAATTAGCAAAGTGGTGTCAATCACCCATTTTACTTTATATCTAATAGGAGTTACATACTCTATTAATATTCTCACTTAATGATATATTAGACTAATTCAATTTGATGATGCCCATCATCTCCTTGAATTTACAATATTTCTCACAAATTAGACCTTTGGTCAAAACATTTGCAACCATCTCTTTAATCTTGCAAAAAACTAAATTGATGTTGCCACTCTCAATCTTTTTATAAATAAAGTGATATTGAATTTCAACATACTTAGTATCAGCATAGAATGTAAGATTCCTTAAAAGAAAAATGTAACTTTGACCATCATTGAAAATAATAAAAGGACTCTCTTGTGAAAATCCAATATCTTTAAAAAAAACCTTTAAAGCCAAATTGCTTCTTTAGTAGCATGAATAGCTGCCATGTACTCTACTTTGGTTGTAGATGATGCAACTTTTGGTT